AACAACAACAAAACTCTGGAAATGTTCTGTAGCTTGATCTTGGTGGTAGTTATGTGGGTGTAAGGATGTGAAATCCATCAAACTGCACAATTAATGCTTGAGTATTTTCCTCTACGTAAGTTACATGCCATTTTTTTTTTTTTTTAAAGCAAAATTAGAAACAACAAAGAAGGTAAGCAATGGTGGCTGGAACCAATTATATTGATTTAAATAACTAAAATGACTTCAGCTAACTTGGCTATAACCCACAGGTTGAAAACAGCTCTACATATAAATTATATAGGCACTATTTTTAAAATTCTCTCTAGGTCTTAGAATCTAGGAATGACGACTTATGTTGGCCAGGCAGTCGCAGGCAGTGAGAAAAGAGAAGAAGGGGACAATCTTACAAGTCTTCCCTGGAAGAGAACACAGATTTCTAGGTCATCAACATTAAAAAATCAAAAACCAAACCTACTACCATCACGTCATTTCCAACTCACAGCAATCCTGGAAGACAAACTAAAACTGCCCTGATAGGGTTTCTAAGGCTGTAAATCTTTAAGGAAACAAACTGCCTAGTCTTTCTCCCATGGAATGGCTGGTGAGTTCAAACTGTTAACCATTTGGTTAACAAACTAATGCCTTAAACCACTGTGCCACCAGAGCACCAACATTCAGCTCAAAAAAATACCAGACTCGTAGGTATCCATTCTCTTCACTCACTAAGTGCAGACAGTTACTTTCTAAATTTTAGATTCAATTACATAGGTTATGTGCTTCAACAAATGAAAACCAAAAAAAGTTTCAAACATTTTGCTTTGAGAAATTATGAACCCTAAAACATCCAGAAACAAAAAAAGCATCTCTCAATGCAATAAACAACACACTGAAGTTCATAACCCCGAAAACACAAACACACAGTCCAAAACCCTTCCCAGCTTATGAAATTGCAATGGGACACTAAAATTAGCTTTAATAGGCAGGTGCTAAAAAGACACTGCGGTGACAGTCAAATCCTAAAGAAAAACAATGTTCTAAATTCCTAGCCGGAGGGGGATATTATTTTGAAATAGCCATGCTGTCATAAAATAAACGTCAATGCTGAATGCTAGTCTATTTATAATTGTATATAGATAAACCATGTTTCTATTATGGTGTTTAAGATGTGGGTGTTTAGGGTATTTCACTGCTGTCTCCTTGAAAAAAAAAAAAAAAGGAATAGAAAGGCAATAATAGAGTAAGAATATAAAGGGCTAGAGAAGACAAAGATATTTCTCTCATTTAAAAAAGAACCATTCACAGCTGCACACAAGAAGACAAGGACAACAAAATTCATTGTAGCACTGTTTGTAATAGAAAAATAATGGAAATACTAGAATGGCCACAATAAAATGTTTATATAATGCAATGAAAGGGATGAACTCTATGTATGAACTTGGATAGATCTCAAAAGCAAGGATGAACGAAAAAAATAAAAGTAAATGCAGAATATATATAATTTATGTTTGCATTTTATATAGTATTTTTTTTTAATGTAAACCACCACCATACACACACACACACACACAGGTGTGATAGATTTATCTGTAAGGATGTAAAAGTGAAATGGAGATGATCTGACAAAACTCTTAATAGTGGTTGTCTTTGGCTGGGTTCCTAAGAGAGGAAAAAATGGAATTAGAGATCATGCTTAAATAGAACTTCAACTATAACTGATGTTTATAAGTTTGTTTGTTTGTTGATTTTTAAAAAAGATAAAATAACAGTAACACGTTGAATCTGGGTAGTGGGAATATGGTTGTTTTTCTTTGTGCTTTCCAGTAACTTCTAAGTTTCTCAAAATTATTTTTTTTTTAATTATTATTTTTTAAATCTAGTATGACCAAAGAAATACGATATGAGCAAAGCCTCTGTCAGTAACATTTTATCTAACTCAGGGAACCCCTCTTTGGTTTAGTGACAAGATGAGGACAAATCCACCCTCTTTGGAATTTTATCTATTAATTTGAATAAACAGGAGCATATATGTAAATATGGTAAGAACCTTGTTGCTATGGAAACATTTTATCTGTATTTTGGTTATTTCTTCAAAACTTACATGCAGTATTAAACGTTGAGGAAAAAAACACTTAAAAGAGAAATAAAAAGACAATACTTTGAATACTTTGCGGAAAACACACTGAAATCTGACTCAGCTCAGTAACATATCTCACATCACTTGCATTCAAGTCAGAAAATAACTGTAAGCATGATTGTTAATGATTTATTACAACGTACAGTAAAACCTGCAGAAGCTGCAACCTGTGTTAAGTGGTTATAGAGGGAAAACTCAAATATTTTCCACTAACTTAGAGTGATGTAAAAGTGGTAAGACTGCACCCTGTCAAAGGTAGAAAACTTGCAAGACCTGGAAAAACAAGGCAGTCCCACTGAGTTGTGGCTCTCATAGGTTTCACAGCAATTGTTAATGATTTCAGTAGATTCCAATCTGGAGAAATTAATGAAATGAGAAAATTTTTCAGTATCATTCTATGAAGAGCAGGAGTTTTCAGATAGTATTACCTTGGCAAGTTCAGGGAGGTAGCTATCTAAACCGGAACCAGAACCTTCCAATTTGCTTTGTTCATCATCTGCAATGGTAAACCAGATTACTTGAGTCAGTATTATTGAAAGTATTTCATTCAAAACAGGAGAACTAAAGCCACTGCTCTTTTGTGCTCTCTAATGCAGTGGTTTTCAAGTTTGGATGCACATGAAAAACATCTGGGGAGCTTTTAAAAGACACTGATACCCAGGTTCAGTGGTGATAAGTAAAATATTTAATAGGTAGTACAGCATGGGTATTGTCTAATTAGAACTCATGTTGTTGTCATTAGGTGTCATTGAGTCAATTCCAAACCCATATGACATAATAGAACTGCCCCACTGGGTTTTCTAGGCCACGATCTTCATATGGGAGTAGACTGCCAGTGTTTTCTCTCATGGAACCACCAGGTGGATTTAAACTGCCAGCCTTTCGGTAGCAGCCAACGATTTGGTTGTGCCACCAACAAAACCAAATAGAGACTCATAGAGACCCTATAGGATACAGAGTACCATCCCATAGGGTTTCCAAGGCTATAATCTTTATGGAAACAGACTGCCACAGCTTTCTCCTATGAATCAGCTGATGGGTTTGAACTGCCAACCTTTCAGTTAGCAACCAAGCACTTAACCAATGTACAACCACAGTTCCATAATTAGAACTGCTGTAAGCTATAGAATGCTATAAAATATAAACAACTAACTTTAAAAAACATGGCTACACCCGTCACACCTGCTAAAAGTCAGATCTGCCCAGGCCCCTGCCCCCAGGTCAGCTAAATCAGAATCTTTCCTGGGGCCAAGAAAACACAGTATTTTAAAGAGCTCCCAGGTATTTCTACTGTGCAACCAGAATTCAGAATAACCTGTCCAAGGGATAAATACCATATGAATTATCGAGAACATAGCTAGAATTTTCTTACCAATTAAATCTGAGGCTTTCACTCATTCTTTGTCTTGAAAAATCCAAAGGATATTATTAATGAAAGAAACGGTAACTATATAATTACTATTTTAAGTACTAACTCTATACCGGGAGCTCTGGTAGCATAGTGGCTAAGACACTTGCCTGCTAACCAGACAGCTGGCGGTTCAAACCCACCAGCCACTCCTCGGAGGGAAGGTTGGGCAATCCTACTTCTGTAGTGATACTGCCTCGGAAACCCAAGGAGGGGTCGCTATGAGTCGGGGCCGACTCGACGGCACATAACAACAACAACAACAACTCTATACCAGGTATCTGAGTTATTTTATTTAATCTTCCCATTTGACCAACAGTTTTGTTTTATTCCCATCTCATAAGTGAGTAAACTAAGGCTCAGAAAACATAGGTAGCTTGCCCAGGTCACACAGCTAAGAAATGGTATTCTTGGGACCTGAACCCAGGTCCTTCCTTTATGCCTCCAAAGCTGTGGTTCTTACACACACACACAGACACTCATATATACAATATTAATAATGTATTTATATATAGATATATCTACCTTCCACTGCTTGGAAGGAAGATTGGGCAATCTACTTCTGTAGAGGTACCACCTCAGAAACCCAAGGAGGAGTCGCTATGAGTTGGATCCAACTTGACTGCAGTGAGTTTTATATTGTCTCCTTCACATATTTCCATATAAAAATGTGAGGATCATAAATTCTATTGTGCAAAATCACATTTGCTGGTAAAATATTTGTAAAGAAGTCATGTGTCCCATCTCTCATGTACATATGGTATACACACACACCCTTCAGAGTATGCTACTCCCTCGGGAAAGCTAGACCTACCCACCTTCATGAGCATCTCCATTTCGCTTTTCTTGCATTGCAGCTTCAAAGTTGAGTTGGAGAATCTTGTTTAAAGTTGTAATCCATTCTTCCATTTCCATTTCACTGTCTGCTGCCAAAAGATAACTACTTTTGTCTTGCATCTTAAGTTCAAAAGCAAAACGCCTGACTTTGTTGTTCTGAAATGTAAAAATGGTACAGATTTACTTTTCAAGAACTAGAACTGCCTTAAATAATTTCTCTTTATTGCTTGCTGACTATTTTATTCATGTTTTAGACCTCTCTATTTATAACTGCAAGGATCCCAGTGGCAAAATTGTTAAGCACTCAGCCACTAACTGAAAGGTCAGTGGTTCAAAACCCCCCAGGCACTCCTTGGGAGAAAGAGGTAGGAGTCTGCTTCCGTTAACATTACATCCTCAGCAGCCCTATGGGGCAGTTCTATTCTGCCCTACAGGATTGCTAATGAGTGATAGTCGATGCAATGGTAACAGGTTTGGTTTTTGGTTTCGTATTTATAACTGTAGGAGCTCTGGTAGCATAGTGGCTAAAGCATTTGACTGCTAACCAGAAGGCTGGCGGTTCAAACCCACCAGCCACTCCTCGGAAGGAAGGTTGGGCAATCCTACTTCCGTAGTGATACTGCCTCAGAAACCCAAGGAGGGGTCGCTATGAGTCGGGGCCGACTCGACGGCACATAACAACAACAACAACAACAACAACATTTATAACTGTAAGTTCCCTCTCTCATAAGCCCCCTATCATTATCTACCCTCCCTATTTTCTCCATAACTTTGTTTTTCCTTCTGACACATTACTTATTTCACAGATTATCTGATGCTCTCAACAGAATAAGCCCCATGAGAGCACAGACTTTCCCCTTTCTTTTGCCAATTCAACACTTTTATTCTTTAAATTTTAGTTTGCTGTTGTTGATAATATACATGGCAAAATATAACCAATCCAACAAATTTTACATGTACAATTTAATGACATTAATTACATTTTTCAAGTTATACAACTATTCTCACCCTCCTTTTCTAAGTTGTTCCTTCCTCATTAACATACAGTTGTCCACTCCCCCCTAAGGTTCCTATCTAATCTTTCAAGTTGCTGTTGTCAGTGTGATCCCATATGAACACTTCTTAAAAGAGCATAATGTTCATGGCAGACATTTTGCACTAGTTAACCTAAACTTCAGTATTGTTCAGTTTTCAGAAGACTTTTAAGAATACTTCAGGGAATACTTCTGGTTTAAGATTTAGAGATTATCTCAGGGCAGTAGTTTTAGGGGTTCCTCCAGTCTCCATGGCTCTAGAAAGTCTAGAGTCCATGAGAATTTAGTATTCTGTTTCATATTTCCTCTTCTCTTGATCAAGATCCTTCTGTAGAATCTTTGATCAAAATGTTCAGTAATGGTAGCTAGGTACCACCCAGTTCTTTTGGTCTCATGGCAAAAGGGGCAGTTTTTCATTGGGGTAATTAGCCACACATTGCATATCCTCCTCTTATTATGCCTGACTCTCCTTCTTCCTCTATTGCTCCAGGTGAGCAGAGACCTACTGCTGTGCCTTCAATGGTTGCTTGCAAGCTTTTAAGACCTCAGGCACCATGCAAAATAGGAGGTAGAACAGAAGCACTAAACATAGTATGTGGCCAATTTATTGGGATGTCCTATGCAACCATGATGCTAAACCTCCAGACCAAGTAACCAAATCCCCTGAGGTATTTGGCTATACATAAGTAGCCTCAGCAGCTACTTTTTTTTTTTTTTTCAATAGTCATTATGTAAATGTATCTATTACTCACTTCTTTTGCTCAATATCCTTAGTCTCTAAAACAGTGTCTGGCACATAACAGGTACATGAAATATACTTACTGAATGACCCAAACTGAGTTTTAAATTATCATATTCATTGAGTATTTTTCCTGAATCAAACAGAGTATGATCAAGTTTTTAAAAGTAAGTCATTATCTATCAATATATGTTTCACTCATTTATCTGGAACTTCTAATCATTTAAGAATCCCAAAAGGTACTTAAACTCTGTATCTATAGCCTTCCCTCATGTCTGATTTCTATGCCTGTGATAGTAAAAGTACAGAAACAGTAATCCACTTGCATTAAATGACAGAAGATGAACATACACTATAGTAGGGCATCTCAACCTTGGCACTATTGACATTCTGGGGCTTTGTTTTGGTGACTATCTTGTGCATTATAGGATGTTTAGCAGCTTATCTGGCCTCTAACCACTAGATGACAGTAGCACCCCCTCTCCAGTTATGACAACCAAAATGATTCCAGGACTTTATCAAATGTCCCCTCAAACAAAAAACAAACTGTCATCGAGTTCATTCCAATTCATAGTGACCTCCATTGAGTTTCCTAGGCTATCAATATTTACTGAAGCACACAGCCCCATCTTTCTTCTGCAGACTGGCTGGCAGGTTTGAACCAATGACCTTTTGTTTAGCAGTCAAATGCCTTAACCACTATACCACCAGAGCTCCTTAAATGTTTCCTCTTAACTCTTAGCCATCAAGTCAGATTCGACTCATAGCACCCCTCCTTGGGTTTCCAAGGCAGTATCACTATGGAAGTAGATTGCCCAACTTTCCTTCTGAGGAGTGGCTGGTGGGTTTGCACCTCCAGCCTTCTGGTTAGCAGTCAAATGCCTTAGACATTATGCTACCAGAGCTCCCACTAGAGGGGGTAAAATTATCCATAGTTGAGAATTATTGCACTAAGAAGATGTTCAGCCCTGAAACACATGGCACAAGACTCCTTGTAAGCAGAAGCTAAGAGGCACAAAATCATAAACTTCCACCAACCTGCAGAACAAGCTCTACCCACCCACCCACTAAAATCCTTGACAGTTGTCCACAGTTCCAGAGGAAGCTCCTCAGCATATGTTTCAAGGACAAGGCAACTCTTCCAAACTGCAGCACAGTTCTTAGAAACACAGAGAGGGCTGCTCTTGGCAAAGCTACACAAACTATTGTGCACAGATAGTCTGCTGTGGGTTCAGTAACTGCCATCTTAGACCTCACTCATATTCAGTTGGATGCAAAAATCCACAGAGTCAAAAGGCTAGAAGTGAAATCAGTTTCTACTCCCCACACCCACCCCAACATATACTCTTCACATACTCATGATTATCTATAAACAGAAAAAGTTAAAGGTGGGGGAAGAACATTAGATCTGATGCTAAGTTATTTATCTTTCTAAATCTCAGTTTCCTTCTCTGCAAAATGAATAGAATAAATTTAAAAGGTTATAAAATACTTTTAGAGCTAAAGATCCTAAAACGTATTTCTTTCAGGTCTATTTAAAAATTTTAGTTTAGGCAGTTCCCTAAACTGACAGCATGAATAAACTAATTCTATCCCCCCCCCCACGATGTCCACAAGTAATAAATAACATTTAAATCTCAAATTTTGGGGCTTAATTTAAAAACAGACGTGATGAAAAAGTAAATTATTTCCAACTTTTGAAGCCTTAGATTCAATTAATTAAATATCAAACAATTTGTCACACCTTGCAAAAAGAATTTAAAGCTACGAACTCCCATTGTAGGTCAGAACCTTAAATTCAGAAACGTATTCCAGAGCCTAAATGATAGCTCTGCTAGCTCTTGGGCTGCTGTACCCATATGCTGTGCCAAAAACTTACTCTCCTAAAGAGCAAAAATAATACCTCCTCCTTGAAAAGCTGTTGCCAAGTAAGTCAACACGAGAAAATCCAACTTAAAAGAACTTAAATGGTTTCTTAATTTAAGAATATAATTGAAACTTCTAGTTGAGAATACCACAGAAGTTAAGTTTTGTCACTTAAATTCACTCTGGTACTCCTTACTTTTTTACTTCCAGTAAGACAGACTTTCATATAGCTCAGTTACTCACAGTGGCAGCTTTCAGCTGGGGCTGAAAGGGTGGGGGCTGCTAGCTGATAGACATCACATGCTGATTAGCTACCAATCAAAAATAATTTTTTAGCAAACATTAGTGGTGCTA